ATGGGCGGACTACGACCATCGATGCCTGATTCCGCACCAGAGGAATACAAGAAACTTGCCGAGCGGTGTTGTGATGCCGATCCTGATAACCGTCCAGATGCAGAGACACTTTGTATTGATATTAGCAACATTTTTAAAGGGGTTGACAACACGTGGAATGCCATTTATCATAATGATGTAACACCCTTATCACGTCTTGAGAAGGAGAATAAATATTCCAGTAAGCGCCTGCCTACTGGAGATTTGCCTAAACCGAGGAACAGTTACGATTCAGCTGCAGGTAACAGTTTACATGTTGGTATTGAAATAACACCATTTTACAATATTAACGTTGTCGTCTATTATTCTATCACTTAGTGACTCAAAATTTTGAATAAGGATTAACCATGTCAAAATTAACAAAGTTCCGTCTGTAAATAGAATTGGTGTCGATGTGTCGATGTGATTTGTGGTAGTTTTTTGTACTAACGAGCTTAAACATAAATTATCAATAAACGCATAGTGTTTGCAATGAGAAATGAAAATATTCATGGCACGTCGGATATTTCTCTGTAAAGTTTAATCGAAACACCGCGATCTATTACTCGTAATCATCTAATAAAAAAATCTGTCCGACTTACCCAATACGGTAAATAATAAGTTTCGGGTGACAACAATTCAATTTTTTCGTCAAGGTTAGACTGACGATGAAAGCATAAACCTTTCGTCGTCAAATTAGCAGACACCCAAAATGCCTGCATGAGTGATTTGTCCCAACCCCCATTTTGACATTGTGTAATGTAGACATTTCCCTACTTTATTCTTAAAACCATTAATGAATTAGATTCTGAAAATAATTAGGCATATCTTGATAACACAAGATTCAAGATATGGCCGAATTAACCTTAGTCTTGTTCTAAAATTATGAATTGCCTCAATTGAAGATCAGGGAGAGTCAAATCACTAACATATTATGAGTACTATAAAATCAGGCTATATTTAGCAGCAAAAATCGGTTTATTAAAAATGAACTGGATAGCCGTAAATATAGCATCAATTGCCACAAGAGACATCTTTTTGCCTAATCTCAAGGCTGATTGATGAGACGCTCTCTCTACTTAGGATAGATGTTAGTCACGCAAGATACGGTAACCCGGTAAAGCTATTTAGATAAATGTTAGTCCAAAGCTGGTTTATTTATGATGGATTTACGGCATACTGCGTTGCGACAACTTATGATATGAATGGAATTATCTTTCCCGATTTCTATCACTACATATTGAAGACAACCAAAACATACTCTATTAATAACAATACTTGCCAACCTGCTTGTCTCAATGAGAGTTATAGAATTTAGACCTTAGCTACTTTTGGTCGACGGCTTCTTGTCAGCCAATTTACTTTTTACAGCTCCCCCTACGCCCTCAGTGTAAAGTATGCGTGTGTGATGGACATTATTATTAAGAGCGTATGTAATCCGTGTGTTGATGCACGGTTAAAAAGAGAAACGCCCAACCCACTGTCAATCCAAGTATACAAAGTTTTTGTCACACAATAAATGTCTTTTTAATTGCGATTAGACATGTACTCACTTATGCAGAATAAAATTACATTCAGACAAAATTTTCAAAGTATCAAAGCGATTCGTCCTCAACGCATCAGTCCAGGAACTGTTATGACTCGTGACATTGATCGATTCAGTCTACTGAATTCGCGATATGTCTACTACGTCAAAGCCCGCGTTTTTGTACTTGGAGGGCGATAAACTTTGCTGTTCGCGTAGATAAAAAAGGTTAACGACATTGAGTACGTGCATCAATATAAAATCAGCGTATATCATTCAATTAACGTAAGTTTCTTACAGAAGGAGTTAAATAATTGTTTTTTATTTCCTCTGAAAAGAAAAAAACAAGAGGTATAATTAATGTTAATAAAATGCCCGTTACATTTGTGATACGTATTCTGGAATGTATGCTCTATCAGCTTACCATATTGTTTGTCATCCATTTTCGTGAAAATAATGGGGTTGGAATCAGACACTTCATGGTTGTAGAGTTTCGTCTCTGAAATAGAAAGCCTGGCGCATTGTGCGGCCAACTTTGCAAATTTGTGGATTTCTTCCTTGTATCTAAAAAAACGGCATTCAGAGATTAAACAAACAAAAGACATATTATACCATTTCCTCCGCCCACCACATTCCACCATTTTGCTACTCACGTAATATATGCTTTCCTATCCGAACAGTACTTTTCAACAAGATTGTCCAACACAGACTTTTTAAATGCCTTCTTAATGTAATGCAGAATGTGAAATATATAGTATTTATGAGGTGCCCAATCTTTGAATTTCTGGGTAAGGGAAAATTGTCCCGTATTTGGATCAATCAATGGATGAAAGATGTCATCTCCTCGGTTGAGAAAATAAACCATTGGTGGCTTTTCTGGATATGTGATTGGACAGAATAAAGTTAAGGCATCATACAAGTCTCTGATTTGGAAACTATGCATGCAACTAGAAACTCTGGTACATAGAGAATGGTGATGGCAGCTCCGCACTACGCTGATTACTGTGACAAAGGATATGTTTCCGGTATATGCAGGCGAAACTTGAACACTCCGCCCTTGTAGTAGCCTTTATGGACAAATATTACACCATACCATGCTTTGATGAAAGAAGATCCGATCAATAAACACAGCAGATAAATTTTATTAACATTAATCATTCAACATGGACTCTTTGCCCGATGACTTACTGTTAAATTTCTCAGCAACTGGCATGACGTACACTCCGTTTGGACAATGTCTTGGATTACGAAGATTCATACTAAATCCGGGAAAAAAGATGGGACGGGGGAGAATGAGGAGGAAGAGGAGGGAAAATATACATTCAGCAGAGATTAATCATTTTCTGAATTTTCGATCAGCCAGCCGCTTTCATAATTAATAAGTAAACATTATTTCATTTATCTTTGATTGATCGGCTCTTTTCTCCTCTCCCTTTCCCCTGCATCGTTAGAAGCAATTTCCTCGGTACAGACAACCTACAATTCAATCATCAATTCCATCTTTCTAAAACAGCCAGAATAAAATTGAGGTTTAGGCTGTCCTTCACCCTCGGCATCTCTCTCGCCATCGTCTTCGTTCTCATGAATAGCTGTAGGCGGGCTAGCGCCACTTCGTCTATAGAATGAGGTGCGTGTTGCCATGGGGCGCTTACTATTAGGTATTGATAAGAGAAGATAAAAAAGGAATATAAGATACCGGGGCGTTATTTGAAATAAATAAGAATAAGCGTATGGGTAACAAACAACCCACAAAGGGGTGATATGTTTGTATTTGGAAATGATCCGCGAGCATTAAACTAAACGTCATCCTGGGCTTATTTGAAGCACATTTATAACAGAATTTCAGATGATTGGTCGTTGTCCCAAACATGTTTCCAAATGCTCATCGGCCAAACGAACTAGAATTTTTTTGCTACGCCTTGGTTTATTAGTGGTTTTCAAACAAATAATCTATAAACAATACCTTCTCACTCGATATAAAAACCACCACTCTTTAGTTATATATTCCTTCACTTTCTACTTTGTCTTTTTTATATATATTTTTTTTCTTCAACTTTTTACAAGGAAATATTTATACTTTTTTGAACGGACAGTGTAAATATGTTCAAACACAAAAGTATGTGTTTTGTATTGGTGAGCCCGAGTCTATACTGGAATGTGCGATAGGGGAGGCCGAGAGGATTTGCACACTGAGATCTGGGGTGTTGCATTGGGTGAAACGTGGGGAAGGAATGCGAGATTAGTGAGCAGAGAAAGACAGCGAAAACCTCCCAACAGTCTGTAGTCTTTAACAGAGTATTTTCAGATTAACAATGAAGATCTGTAAATCCTTCATACCACATACCCTGGAGATGGGTGCAACGCTATAATTTACATGAACTAACTCGTCCTTTCACCCCGTCTTACTTTGCCTTTACTTACCCAATACCGTCTCCTGCTATTCTAATCCATATTTCGCTTCCCCCCCTTTTTTTTTACTTTCCCTCCTTACTTATCCTAACCTATAACAAAATACCTAGAAAACAAAGAAGTTCCCTTAACAACACAACCAAACCGCTCACCCGCAAACGGTTCACACGCTTCCTCTTCAAACTATGTCACCCCCTCCACTCCTACTTCTCCAACTCCCGTACTCGCATCCGGACTGCTTGCCATCTATGTTATCGAAGCGCGCGGCCTGACGCTTCCACCCGGGATAAAAGCTCCACAAGTTCCCCCGCAGTCTGGTATGACGCAACAAACGACAGGAGGGAGGAGTAACAGAGATAGCTTACAAAGGAAGCAGTGCTGGCGGTTACCGTATGTGGTGCTCGAGTTTGATAAGAATGAGATTTTGATTGATTCGCTTGGCGGAGAGGTCTCAAAGCCTGTGTGGCGGTATCGGGCGCATTTGTAAGTGTCACAAAGTGAAGGTGGGATGACTGAAAAATAAGTATGATGTAACGAAAGAGATCTTAGAAGGAAAGAAAAGAGAGACAGAGACAGAGACAGAGAATGAGAATGAGAATGAGAGAGTGAGAGTATTTAACAAATTTACGGAAACTACAATAATGAGGTAATCAGGTTTGACCGATAGATGCTTTTTGTTCTTAATCATAGTGACGTTTCTCGTGAGTCCGAAGTTTCTCTGCAAGTTTATCTTCGTAAATCCACTCAGACCGGAAATCATACTAACGACATGGGTAATGATGTCTACCTTGGCGGTATAAAGCTCAAGCCAAACTTCTCGGTAGTAAATGTAAGAAAAATTCTATTAAATATTCTGTATTTGCACTTAATTTGTATCCGTAAAAGTATCGATCTAACATGCTCTTTTTTCCCCCTCACTGTAGAAGATGTGCGAAGAATGGTATGACTTGCAAGGAGGGACCGGCAGTGTTCACGTGCAATATTGTTATAAAAAGGATAACGTAAGTGAGAAGATTGGCTTTTCAACTGGTTGTGGAGGTAAAAGCAAATTGTTGCTTATACTTGTGATATTTTTTCATTCTACAGGCAACCACGCCATTGGCTATTGATTCATTTGAATTACTTAAAGTCATCGGAAAGGGCAGTTTTGGGAAGGTAATCGAAGGATTGCAAAAAAAAAAAAGAAAAAAAGAAGCATTTGCTTTATTGAACAATATGCTGGGATTATATACATAGCTGTCGGACTCATGTATATATATTTTCTCTTAATCTCAATTTCAAAAAAGGTTATGCAAGTTCGGAAACGGGACACCTCTCGAATCTACGCTTTAAAAACTATCCGCAAAGCACACATAGTTTCCCGCTCTGAAGTAAACCACACTTTGGCTGAACGCACCGTCCTAGCGCAGATCAACAATCCGTTTATTGTCCCATTAAAGTTCTCCTTCCAAAGTCCCGAAAAATTGTATTTAGTGCTCGCTTTCGTTAACGGAGGAGAATTGTTCCATCATTTGCAACGAGAGGGAAGATTCGATGAAGTGAGATCGAGGTTTTATGCGGCGGAACTGTTATGTGCCTTGGAATGTTTACATGACTTTAATGTTGTGTATCGGTAAGTTCTAAATATTAACATGGGTATATTATTGTGAATGAAAAAGAAACAGCGAGTGACTTGGCGTGCAATAGAAAGAGGCTAAGGAATGCGGGCATGATAATGTCCAGAACTGCATAAAATAAGTTAATCTTACGAATTACGTTTAGCAAACTAAGGGAATTGTAGATATGCAACAGCCTCTTCCAAGTTTGGCGTAAAAGTCTGTAGAAATTTGCAATGTTATCGGAGTCCAGCACTATGCTGGCAACCTACTTGTTCATATTTACTAATCACCCGTTCTATAATTCCTCCAATCTTTATTCTCGGTAACAGTGACCTAAAACCAGAGAACATTCTCCTCGACTATACCGGCCATATAGCTTTGTGTGACTTTGGTCTCTGCAAACTAAACATGACGGAAACAGAAACAACAAATACCTTCTGTGGCACACCAGAATATCTATCTCCAGAGCTGCTCCTCGGTCAGGGTTATACGAAAACAGTAGATTGGTGGACATTGGGTGTATTATTGTACGAAATGTTGACGGGACTACCGCCGTTTTACGACGAGAACACGAACGAGATGTATCGGAAGATTCTTCAGGATGATCTCAGATTCCCTGAAGAAGTAGGGCCTGAAGCCAGGAGTCTTTTGACTGGGGTAAGCAGTACCATGGAAACATTTTTTACGATTTTGCAGAGCACAGTTGACAAAATAGAGGGAAATATTGTGAAGTTGTGTAACTGGTGAAATCATGGGAGACAAATTGGAGAATGATCGAGTGCACTACAAAAGATATCTGTTTGTGGAATGTTTCATCTTAATAGACCCATCCTCAAATGTTAATACGTTTTCTTACTTTTGCTATTGGTTAGCTCTTGACAAGAGATCCAAATCATCGATTGGGCAATAATGGGGCTCAGGAAATCAAAGATCATCCATTCTTTGCATGTATTAATTGGAACCTTCTAATGCAAAAGAAAGTACAACCACCGTTCAAACCATCAGTCGTAAGTATACAAGTACTACAACACATTTGTATACTACATTCTTAATCGTTTGTCTTGTTGGGTTTTAAAAGTTCTACACACGAATCAATCTCACCTCTCATTTCACGTTGTCCATAGGAATCTGCAATTGACACATCAAACTTTGACGAAGAATTCACTTCAGAACCTGCCCTTGACTCTGTAGTTGATGACTCGGAATTATCGGCAACACTACAATTACAATTCTGGGGATTCACGTTTGATCCCCGTCAAGAAGGAGGAGTCATGAGTGAGAGTATGGCGAATTCCGTAGGTGGTGGTATGTAAAACGAGTTGAGAAAAGGAGATGAACGGTGTGTGGATGAAGGGAGGGGATGGTTTGTAGATGAATAAGCGTTGTTGGACTGTACATTGTGGGTGCGTACACTTGACACATGTAAGTTCTATCTTTGTGTTCTCGTCTTTCCACCTTCCCTTTCCTTTCCTTTATTTATCTATAACTTGATACAATTACGTGAGATAAGTCGTAGCACTCGCTCCTTTTTTTCTTTTGTTTTATATTTGTTATCTCATTCTTTTACGTCTTTCTTTGTTATATATAACTTTTCTTCGTTCCTTGAATGCAAATTGTTTATTTGAGTTAACATTTTGAATATCTAGATTAAGATTTCTCTCCTTTTGTTTGCTAAGACTATCGTACATTTTTTATCATCAGGCACATTCAGTGAAAGTGCCCATATAAATTACAATATAGTGTCTTTGAGTTATGCAATATCCAATGTCAAAAAAATGTCTACAATAACGTGAGGGATGCAAGAGTCGATAGGAAAGTTGTTAGATGGGAATACACTGAATCAACACTAGTTTACCACACAAACCGTGCGTACGAGAAGTAATTTACTTTGAATAAATAGAATAATATTTCCACAGCCCCAAAAACATCACATGACTGAGAGCTATTTCTGGTGCAAGTAGAAAATACACAACCGCTTATTGTTTCTGCAAAATGGTGAAAATAGAGTCCCTACTTGTATGAATATGGCATACCAGTAGTTGACGAGTTGGAGGGGGTTTGGTCAAGACATATTGTCTACTCAGTTTGATCTGTGTGAACATATTAACACTCCTTGATCAGTAAATCCACAATTTACGTTTTTGAAATTCTACGACATCGCGATACGCTTTAATAACAGTTATTACAAATTCATCGTTACAACTTTTATCACATTCCGTGAATGGGATGAATTACATCCTCATCCCAGACATGTCTTTTTGAAGGGTGCCATGAAAATATTATCTGCTTGTTTTTACGTGTAGAGAATACTGCATCAATGAAAATACGACCTATCTAATTAGGGTTTAAATGATATGGCGAACAGTTTTAATATCGTTTTGTTGAACAAAATTAGTAAAACGTTATTTTTGGTGCGACATGTCAAAAGTCTATCTTATAAATGGCGTGCGTGTTGTAATGTGTGTGTGACCTTGAATTTTATGTATAGCGAGTTGGGTAATAGACAAGTTTTTGAATTGCTCAGTAATATGTCTACCACGATTGTACAATAAACGGGTGAAGACACCGCATATTGCGGTGATGAGAGTGAATGCGTTAACGGTTAAATAACACACGATCAATCTTAGTAGAGGTTGGCAAACAACACGTCTATCGCTAGATAATATTGATTTATACATTCCACTGACCTACGGAATTAGGAGAGACAAATGGAAGTGACCTTCCCGATTTCCGCATTAGGAATGATTGAAGTTGTTAGCTCAAGTTGCTATCTCCTAACAAAACTCACATGCTTACTAACTAGTTACTGCAAAACTAGTCTGATGAGCAGCCGCGCGAATACTTGAAAACAGTCATCCCTTAACACATCCTTCTAAATTAATTACTATCCCACGCGGATCGTTGTTGTTCTCATGATCTAATAACTCGGACTGTTCCTTCTCGTATTCCCGTGTCACTACAGCCCAATATCGGAATTGTTTTAAAAAAAGAAAACCAAAATGTCTCTGTTGATAAATAACGCATAACTGATATCGTTTTATTCGCATTTCTATTAAACGTTTGCTGTATAGCGATAGTCTCGATGTTGTTATAGCTCAGGTTACTAAAAGCACGTGCTTATTGTTTATATCTATTATCGATTGACATTTACATTAACACGCTATGGGTATGAATAGACTCCTTTTCCAGACTTTCTGCCAATATCTCCATTCGCAACCAAATCGTCGAGTTCCTTGACTGGTGCAACGAGATGGGCGTCGATCTTACCACTTTGACGCCATCCGTCGGCAATGAATTTAAGCGTATCCAAACCGACAAGCTTGAAGGAAAAAAATAAAATAAAAAATGATTAGCGTTATTCTTGTAAATGAAATCGTGATTATCGTGTTTGCTCATCTACGATCCCAATTCACTCACATCGGCCAATTCGAACGGTCCCATCGGCATCCCAGCACCAAGCTTCATAGCTGTGTCGACATCTGCATGAGTTGCTTCCCCGCGCCCGACGAGACGAAACGCTTCCAGTATATAGGGAACCAGCAAACGGTTAACGATGAATCTTTTTGATGACATAGAGCAAAATAGATTGCATGTCGTTAATAGGAAATATTAAAAAATTATTACACAGTCAGTCAGAGTTAACAAGACAGTTTACCCCGGAGTATCTTTACAGGTAACGGGAGTCTTTTGCATTCTCTTCGTAACATCCATTAGCTTTTCGCATGTCTCGTTACTAGTCTTGTCGGTTCTGATAACCTCAACTAATTTCATTTGCGGCACGGGATTAAAGAAATGCAATCCAGCAAAATTCTCTTCTCTATTAGTTGCCTTGGCAATTTCACTAATGATCAAACTAGAAGTATTGCTCGCGAATATAGCACTTTTTTTGGCAACCTTATCCAACTGCGAAAACAATTCCTGTTTGACTTTCATATTCTCTACAATGGCTTCGACAAGTAAATCCGCATCGACAGCCGCAGCGGAAGAATCGGTAGACGATGAGATGTTCTTCCATACATTTTCGATGAATTCGGTGCGTTTTTTCTCGTCGTCTTTGTGGAGACGGGAGGCCACGCGTTTTAGCGAAGCATCTATAATGTTTTTACCCTTTTTTATTGCATCGGGTGATACATCGACCATGGTCACATCGAGGCCATTCTGAGCTGCTACTTGGGTTATACCCGCACCCATGAGTCCCGCACCATAAATGGTGATTTTTTGAATAGAGGAGGAGGGAGACGTGGAAAATCTGCGAATAGAGTGAGAAAGAGAACGCAGAGGTAAGACTGATGGGCGACCAAGAGAATTCATTGTTTGTAAAATTTCTGTCGATGAGAATTTTTGGTCAAACAAAATTGGATCAAAAATAAAAACATCTCTGTGTGAAACCATGATCACGATTATCAAAGCACCGCCACAGAAAGATGCATGGTTGACAAAATTAAGTTAGACCAAATACAAAATTGTCGCAGCATTAAAGTTTGTTCACACTTGAAAAAATTTTATTTTTCAAACTATGTCGTTAGCATCAGGGACTGTTAATAATCCAGCAACTGATAACTTAATTTCCTGTTATGTAAATGAATATGATAAACTTGAATGGATTCCTTACTCGCAAATTACCGACATAGAGTCAAGCCAAATTGACAACGTCTACTACGCTATTCGCAAGCATGTTGATTATAAAGTCCATGAAGACAAGATAATGTTGCAATTAGTTCGAAGCAATGAAATATGTACACCAACACTAGTGAATGAGTTTGCCAGAATATACTCACTTCCGACACACAAGTACAATAATCATAGCGACAACTTTAGAAGATATCCCGTATGGCTTAAGGAACGCAACAAACTCATACAAGGATTCACCAAATACGATAACAACTATTACATGGTTGCCAATAATACCAATAACCTCTGTTATTCTCTCTATGGCTTCTGCACTGCATTTGATGTAGTCCCGTGTGGTGCATTTGCGGGCATAAACAATTATCCGATGGATGAACTAGCAACAATAGGCAACTCGATGACTTTATTAAGAAATCTCAATTACAAACAAACTCACCAAATCATGCCTATTTGGAATGGATTCCAT